GCACCCATGACTCCATGGACCGCCTCCATGTCCTAAACGCAGCTGCTGGCATTTCTGCCTCACACTTCTCTGGAGCGACAGCTGCTGAGGGCTTCATGACCGGCATAGAAGCATGACCACCGCCAGCACCTAGAGACGCCATCTGAGCCATCAATGCACTCATGGCCTGCTGCTGGGCGCGCGTGGTGTTCCCGGCCGGTGTAGAGAAGCCCTGGCGTCCCCTTGAGGGCGTCGAGAATCGTGGACGTGTAGGGGCCATGTCAGCGTTCTTGTCAGGGCTGTAATGGCGTGTCGGGCCCCGACATATCCTACTCACTGTGCGCCATGTGAGAGGTTGGAGTCATAGACCACGTTCTTTATAGACTTTATTCTAACAGTGTCAGCTGGAGACTGGCAACCGGGCGCTGCCAAAGACAAGCCCCCATCTCAACATGGGAAAACATATCGTACGATGGTACAATCTTACAAGAACTAAAATTTTATGGGTGAAATGGTGCCATGGGGTGACTTCTCTTCCACCCCAATGCCTTCTCTTCTTCCTTCTCCTCCACCCCCATTCTAATTCCCATCATCATCATCATCATCCAGGAGCCTTCTACATACACACCTCAAAGTAAGTGAACTTTTCTACCATTTTTGTTGAATTTAGGCAATTTTCGGTGAGCTGGAACCAATTACCCAAAAACCCATTGAAACTATGGTTTCGGTCAACAAATTTTTCGGTTAACGAACAACCTGCTGGAACAGATTGTGTTCGTTAACCGAGGGACCACTGTACAGTAAATGAAATAATAAAATAAATACGCTTAGGAAGCATATTAAGGGTAAATAACAAGTGAAATACAGCCACTCCTCGACTTACGACGGGGTTAGGGACCCAAATCCAGGTCGTAAGTTGAAAATGCAAAGATAATACGTACATAGAAAATCTAAAATGGATGTCTCTTTTTCTTCTCAGCACCACAAAACTCTCACTTTTACGCTTGCCAGCCATTTTAAAGGGAATTACAAACCAAAATTTTGTCAGTACACAGTGCAATCACTAACGTCGGGACTCGAAAATACGTAATTTGAAAAAATTTTGGTACAACTAGGGCGGTCGTATGTCTGAGTGGTCGTAAGTAGTCGGTAGTAGACAGCTACCAACCAGGGAGGTACTACTGCTTGGGAAGATATTGGAAGCATAATGTATTGTCTAATGGTAGGCCCTGCTGCCATATGGCATTACAAAAATTGTGACCAAGTCCCAGGTTGCTAATCTATCTTTCTGCCTCATTTACACACAATTGCAGGGTCTCAACTGTCTCTCTTACTATTGACAACACCACATATATAACCGTACTCATTCTTGATCTGTTTTATTCATTCTATTTTATTCTCCTATGTCAATTGATATTAATGTTGAAGCGGGGCCTTCTCGGATGGGTTCCACTGGTCGGGATGGTTGTGGACCCCAGGGCCGACCTGATCATCATCAAGTTACTGGGGCCTCAACTGACGCCACCGAGGTTGCTGGAGGATCGGCTTTTTTCACACTTCATTTTTCCAACATTCGCGGACTGAGATCCAATTTTCCTTCTGTGGGGCACCATCTATTAACCTCTTCCCCCAACCTCTTACTACTTTCCGAACTTCAACTGACCAAAGCAGCTTCACCCAAACCTCTTCAAGTCTCCAACTACAACCTTTATACCTCTTTCCGTTCTAAGGAAGGTGTATGCGCCTACTGCAACACACGTACACCCATAGCTCGACTCACGGATCTTGAATCTTCCCTTTATGATGTCATCTGGCTCAAAATATCTCTACCTACTGTGACTATTTTTCTTTGTTTCCTAAACTGTTCTCCCAACTCTACCAACTATTTCAAACGCTTTGACTATCTCACTTCTTGCCATGAATCATTGCAATCCACACACCCAACACCGAGACCCTCTACCTAGGGGATTTCAATGTACATCACAGAGAGTGGCTTGGCTCTGCAAGGGATGACCCAGGTGGAGCTGAGGCACTCTCTTTTTCCTTACTTAATGATTTGGAACAAATAATCAAACACCCTACACGCGTTCCTGATCGACACGATCAACTTTCTAACATTCTTGATCTTTGTTTTACCTCTAACCCCTCACACTATTCATACTCAATTTCTGCCCCCTTAGGGTCTTCTGAAAACAACCTTATTTCTATTAAATCAAACTGGGCACGACCACCTCCCCCAACCCTCTCTAAACGTCAACTATGACACTATCAGAGGGCAAGCTGGCAATCCTTGCGAGAATTCTTCACCGACTTTCCTTGGGATGAATGTTGTTTTACCACTCGGGACGCCTCGGTTCGTGCTGACAGCATTGCTGGGGTTATATGGGGTGGTATGAGTGCATTTATCCCATCTTCTACCAAAACTTTCACATTACAATCATGGTTTGATCGCTCCTGCTCTCTTGCTTGCAGGGTGAGAGATAGGGCATATCGAGCTATGAAACTATCTCCTTCTCCTATTACCCACACCTCTTTCATTACTTCTAGGAATCGTTGTAAGGCTATTCTTCGTAGGGCCAAGCGGAATTTTATTAAAAGAAAGACCGCTGTCCTGACGAATTCTTCCTCTAGTAAATCCTTTTGGTCCTTAACTAAAAACATTAGTAACAACTTCTGCACTCCTTCTTTGACTCCCCTCTTCCGACCTGATAATTCTATAGCCAACTCTCCCCCTGACAAAGCCAATCTCTTTGGCACCTTATTCTCCTCTAATTCCACCTTAGACAATTCCCACTCTATCCCTCCTACCCCTGCACCTCCTACTGAACCTATGCACTTTCCTATAATCTCCACTCGCAGGGTTGCCGGTGTGTTATCCAGGTTGGATGTGAGTAAGGCGCATGTACCGGACGGAATACCCCCTAGTGTTCTGAGGGAGTGTGCTGAAGCCCTGGCCCCTGTGCTTGCTCGCCTCTGCCCCAAAACCCAAACTTTTCCTTCTTCTTGGAAGCATGCCTTGGTTCAGCCCATCCTGAAGAAGGGTGACCATTCTAATCCCTCTAACTATCGCCCCATTGCCCTAACTTCATCCCTCTCTAAGATTTTCGAAACTATCTTGAACTCCCATTTTCTCTTTTGTCGGATCACCAGTATGGCTTTCGCCAGGCGAGATCTACTGGTGATCTGCTCTCCCATTGCACCCATCTTTGGTCATCCTCTCTTAGGGATTATGGGGAAACTTTCGTCGTGGCCCTCGACATCTCCAAAGCATTTGACAGGGTATGGCACAAGTCTTTGCTATCTAAACTTCCCTCTTTTGGTTTCTCTCCCCCACTTTGTTTTCTCATCTCTAGCTTCCTTGAGAACCGATCCATGGCAGCTGTTGTCGAGGGATCGATCTCTCGCTCTTTTCTACCAGTAGTAGTGTCCCACAGGGTTCTGTTCTTTCACCTACTCTCTTCCTTCTTTTTATTAATGATTTACTTCACACTACAACTAATTCTATCCATTTTTACGCTGATAATTCTACTCTTCACTCTTCTTCACATTTTCCCCTTCCTCCTAACTCTCAAACTAGATCTGTTTCTAGAACTGATATCATTACTTCTATCAATGCAGATCTGTACAGCATCTCTGAATGGGGAGGTAGAAACTTGGTTAAGTTCAATAGTAATAAAACTCAATATTTACCAATTACACTTTGTAAATTAGACGATCTTCCACCAATTACATTTCAGGACGCTATCATCCTGCCAAATTCTGAAATAAATATGTTAGGCCTCACCATTTCCTCCAATATGTCCTAGAAATCACACATCCTGAGTACAAAATAGCTAAAGCTGCCTTCCGAAAGTTGGGAATGCTGTACAGATGCAGTAGCTACTTCACTCCTGAGCAGTTGCTCCAAGTATATAAGGGATTCATTTGCCCTAACTTGGAGTACTGCTCTCATATCTGGGGTGGCTCTTCTTCTGTCCAACTATTAGATAGGGTGGATCAAAGGCATTTCGTCTTATTAACTCTTCTCCTTTAGTCGACAATTTCGCTTCCCTTTCTGTTCGCCGCAATGTTGCTTCACTCTCTCTCTTTTACAGGTACTTTAACGGGCAATGTTCGGTGGATTTGGCATCCTGTGTACCGCCGGCAAGGCCGTGGGTTCGTAACACTCGTCTTACCCGCGGTGCCCACCGTTTCTCTGTGGATGTCGGTCACATGAGAATAACCCGTTATAGTATCTCCTTCTTTCCTTACACAGCCAAACTGTGGAATGCTCTGCCTTCTTCTGTGTTTCCATACTTACACAATCTGTCTCACTTTAAAAAGCTGGTTTTCCAGCATCTTCGTGGTGCAGATTAACACAATATAACCTTTTTGTTCTCTATTTTCAATTTCGTTCTGTTCCTTTTTTCTTGCCCCCCAGGCCCCAATGTGGGTCTTTTGACCTGTGCCCGGGTGGGCTAATTCCCGTAAAAAAAAAAAAAAAGTCGAGTAGGTCATAAGTCAAGGAGTAGCTGTATTACAGAAACACTTGAAATACCTAGGAACGCACCAAACTCCACGAGGGCCAGATGTAAACAAAGGGGATGCTGAACCATGGATACTAGCGCCGGAAGACAGGAGGCGCCGGACAATAGAGTACTGTACCGAATTAGGGAGGTTCAACCTGTACAGGCAATTGTGAGTTTGCTCTGGCATTAATTTGACTGTAATGTACTGTATGTGAATGTATTTCAATTACTGTACAGTATATATATTAGAGCATTCTTTTAATCAATGTGTACACCAAAAAATTTATTTAAAAACATACTTATGTTATGAGTTTTTTTTTTAAAGGGACTTATCTCAGTTTTTATAATGGGAGTCTATGGGAAATATGATCTGATTTAGGAAAAATGTATTTACAAAATGCTTTCAGGAATGGAACCCTTTTGTAAACTAGGGACTGCTTGTGGTATTGATCAGGGTTTTTGTGCCACCTGACTCATACTAATCAAATAATACTGCAATAATACAGCACTGACCTCCAGCATAGGCATAAAGATCAGTGATAATAAGCATTATCGCCAGTGGAGTCCAGCGTGCCACTTGTCCAACTGTCACTGGAGCTGACACCTCTGCAGAGGAAGCATCACCCAAACACACCAATTCTGTCCATCTCCTAAGATAATACAAAAACTACTGAGTCATTAACATCAGGAAAATTTACACTGATTCTGGAGTAATACCAGAAGAATAAACCAGTCCAATGTGGAATTATCCTCAAATATTTACTACACTTACACTGGGAGGTTTATGTACATTCTTCTACAAACCAATTTACTTTAGCCAAAGAACAACTCAAGAGTTCTCCCAGTTTGCTTCCCTTTCACTATGCTTAAGCTTTATATCAGACCTCTTCCCCAGTCACAACATTTTTATTGAATCAAAATTGTTAAGTATCATGGCAAATACACTACATAAGAAAAATTAATTCACATACACTACTTCTTGGAATGACAGGGAGAAGAATGACCCAAGATAACACTAAGTAAATAATATATATTTTAATAATTTATTCTGAAAGTGAAAAAAATTTCTTACTGCGGTGGGAGAGTAAGAAGATCTGGTAGTGTTCTATGGATAGTCATCACCAACTGTACTGCCAAAGTTTCAACAAGTGTCAACAGACCTCTGCTTCCTAATACTTTTCCTATAATATTTATTTCAAACTGATCATCACTTAAGTTCATCATCTGTCTTAATTCTTCATTGTAGTCATCATCCTGTACATGAATAAAAGAGAGATTTAAATAATTATAATACTGTACCTTGTTCTACAAGTATTTGATTCAAACATTTTCACATATTATAAATGTATACTAGTCTCTCTCCTATGTATTACAATATCATGTTGGCAGTGTTAAAGTGTCATCATAAGTTACTATCTCACTTCCTGCTATGAATCGTTGCTAACCACACACCCCAACACCGAGATCCTCTACCAAGTGGATTTCAATGTACATCACAGAGAGTGGCTTGGCTCTGCAAGGGATGGAGCTGAGGCACTCTCTTTTTCCTTACTTGATGATTTGGAACAAATAATTAAACACCCTACACGCGTTTCTGATCGACACGATCAACTTACTAACATTCTTGATCTTTATTTTACCTCTAACCCCTCACACCATTCATACTCAATTTCTGCCCCCTTAGGGTCTTCTCATCACAATCTATTTCGATTTAATCAAATTGGGCACGACCACCTCCTCCACCTCCCTCGAAACGCCAACTATGGCATTTTCGGAGGGCAAACTGGCAATCCTTGTGAGAATTTTTCTCCGACTTTCCTTGGGATGAATGTTGCTTTTCCACTCGGGACGCCTCGGTATGTTGTGACAGCATTGCTGGGGTTATACGGGGTGGTATGAGTGCATTTATCTCATCTTCTACCAAAACTTTCACTTTACAATCATGGTTTGATTGCTCCTGTTCTCTTGCATGTAGGGTGAGAGATAAGGCACATCAAGTTATGAAACTTATCTCCTTCTCCTATTACCCACTCCTCTTTCATTACTTCTAGGAATCGTTGTAAGGCAATTCTTTGTAGGGCCAAGCAGAATTTTATAAAAAGAAAGACCGCAGTCCTAACTCTTCTTCTAGTAAATCCTTCTGGTCCTTAACCAAAAACATCTGTAATAACTTCTGCACTTCCTCTTTTCCTCCTCTTTTCCGACCTCATAACTCTATAGCCAACTCTTCCCCTGATAAAGCCAATCTCTTTGGTACAGTAGAACGTCGATTTAAAGCGATTCAAATTAAGATTATTGATTTAAAGCAACACCCACAATTAAGGACAATGTTTTAATTTAAAGCAAATCTTTCCTATTTTGTGCGAGTCAACCTGGCGCATCCTATTTTAAAATTCGCGCCTAATGTTTCTCTGAGCAAGCTACACTGTCCTAAGGGCAAAGCTGTACTGTACATGTACTCAGAATAATGTACTAAATGATTACTAAAATTTTGGTCTAGTGCAAACTATAGCATGTTTATATGCAAATTAATCACAATCTTATAAGAATTCCAGCAATGTAAATTATATTTTCCCCAGTCACTTCTGTGACATTAAAAAAAAAAAATTAAACTTAATCTAAAGGACATAAATAAACAAATACATACTTCACTAGACCTGCGGCACCAACTGTCAAACGTGTCACTGTCACCTCCCTCATCCCCCCACCTCCCTCCCTCCCTCCTAGTCAGGGTTTGGTGGTTATAGTTTTACAGTTTTTATCTTATATAAGATCACAGACTAAAGTTAGGAGAATATAATTTGCAATGCTAGAATCCTTGCAAGACAGCAAATAATTTGAATATAAACCATATATTTTGCACAAGAGATAAAATTTTTAGCCATTTGTAATAAGTTTCCTAATTAGAACTAAAATTTGTATGTCTAACGCAAACTATAGCATGTTTATATTCAAATTAATCACTATCTTATAAGAATTCCAGCAATGTTAATTATATTCTCCCAGGTCAGTTCAGTGAGATTTTAGAAGAGAAAAACTTAGTCACTCTTAAGGACAGATAAATAAATAAGCACTAGACCTTGGCATCAACTGTCAAACATATCACCTCACCTCTCTCTCCCCCCAGCCCCATCTTCCCATCAGCTGATCGCTAGTAAACAGACCATTTCGCGTCCCTTAATTTATGATTTATGAGTGTTTGTTCTAACATAATACTACAAAAAACAATGTTTTGTTTATTCTAGGAGATGGGCTGAGGTGCATCTTGGTATAACTGTCAGTCTTTTTAGTATTTTGTACTTCTTTCAAGTTCCAAACTAAATTATTCCATTGAAACAACACTTCGATTTAGTGCAAATTCGGTTTAAAGCGACCTCTCTTGGAGCGTATCTCATGTTATATCGACGTTCTACAGTACTGTACCTTATTCTCCTCTAACTCCACCTTAGACGATTCCAATTCCATCCCTCCTACTCCTCTTACTGAACCTATACACTTTCCTGTAATCTCCAATTGTAGGGTTGCTGGTGTGTTCTCCAGGTTGGATGTGAGTAAGGCGCATGGACTGGACGGAATACCCCCTCGTGTTCTGAGGGAGTATGCCGAAGTTCTGGCCCCTGTGCTTGCTCGCCTCTTTTGCCTTTGCCTCAAATCACAAACTTTCCTTCTTCTTGGAAGCACGCCTCGGTTCAGCCCACCCCGAGGAAGAGTGACCATTCCAATCCCTCTAACTATCGCCCCATTGCCCAAATTTATCCCTCGATAAGATTTTCTCTGTCACCTTGAAAGCCACTTTCTCTTTTGTCGGATCACCAATATGGCTTTAGCCAGGCGAGATCTACTGGTGATCTGCTCTCCTACTGCACCCATCTTTGGTCATCCTCTCTTTGGGACTATGGGGAAACTTTTGTCATGGCCCTCAACATCTCCAAAGCATTTGACAGTGTATGGCACAAATCTTTGCTTTCTAAACTTCCCTTTTATGGTTTCTCTCCCCCACTTTGTTCTCTAATTTATAGCTTCCTTGAGAACCGATCCATGGCAGTTGTTGTCGAGGGATCAATCTCACTCTTTCTCTACCAATAGTGGTGTCCCACAGGGTTCTGTTCTTTCACCTACTCTCTTCCTTCTTTTTATCAGTGATTTACTTCACACTACGACTAATTCTATCCATTCTTACGGTGATGATTCTACTCTTTACTCTTCTTCACATTTTCCCTTTCCTCCTAATTCTCAAAACACATCTGTTTCTAGAGCTGATATCGTTACATCTATCAGTGCGGATCTGTGCAACATCTCCGAATGGGGAGGTAGAAACTTGGTTAAATTCAATTGTAATAAAACTCAGTATTTACCAATTACATTTTCCAAATTAGATGATCTCCCACCAATCACATTTCAGGACGTAATCATTCTGCCAAATTCTAAAATAGATATGCTAGACCTCACCATTTCCTCTAATATGTCAAGGAAGCCACACATTCCAGAAAGCTGGGAATGCTGTACAGATGCCGTAGCTACTTCACTCCTGAGCAGCTGCTTCAAGTATATACAGTAATGAATTCATTCGTCCTAACTTGGAGTACTGCTCTCATATCTAGGGTGGCTCTTCTTCTGTCCAACTGTTAGATAGGGTGGAATCAAAGGCATTTCGTCTTATTAACTCTTCTCCTTTAGTTGATAATCTTTCTTCCCTTTCTCTTCGCCACAATGTTGGTTCACTCTCTCTCTTTTACAGATACTTTAATGGGCAATGTTCAGTGGATTTGGCATTCTGTGTACCGCCAGCAAGACCGTGGGCTTGTAACACTCGTCTTGCTCGCGGTGCCCACCATTTCTCTATGGATGTCAGTCACACTAGAATAAACCGTTATAGTACATCCTTCTTTCCTCACACAGCCAAACTATGGAATACTTTGCCTTATTCTGTGTTTCCATACTCATACAATGTCTCACTTCAAAAAGATGGTTTTCCGGCATCTTCGTGGTGTAGATTGATATAATCTTTTTCTTTTCTATTTTTAATTTCTTTTTACTCTTATTTTTTTAGCCCCCTAGGCTCCGTTGTGGGTTGATGACCTGTGCCAAGGTGGGCTCTTCCCCGTAAAAAAAAAAAGTGTCCCATGACCCTGCATTGGAGGTGCACTTACTGATACACAAAAAGACACATAAGATTATACAGATCCCACATCCCTTAACCTGCTAACTCCAGAATACATTTGATATGATCAATCCTATGAATGATTGCATCCACATCCTTGCTAACCTTGAGCAAGCACCCACACAGTGACATAACACTACCCCATGTGGACACCAACTGAATATATGACTATCAATAGATATATAAACAGTTTGCATTACATATAAATGCGGATAGTGGTAGGGCTGTATCCTGGAGTGTGGTGTGAGTGAGGTGCTGTGGTCTTGGCAGCAATGGGGATTGTCTTTACAGTTGTGCTTAGAGCCGTCATGAAATATCAAAACAAGATTGAGGAGGATTACTTATTTAACACGATAATATGATGGTAGAGTAGCCCTCACGATTTTACCTCATTTAATATCATCACAGGGGGTAAAGTAGCTAACTTAAGGCAACTATGCACTACACTGATTCTTGTTGTCCATCGAAACTCAGAGAAGATACTCCATATTCTCCATTAACTAATTTTAAGTCCTGCTAATTTTCATGGCACTAAAGGGTGTATCACATTGTGTAAGGGCTTTAATCCTCAAAGCAATACCCTAAATAGAACTTACCATGGTGGGAGGCAAGACTAGAGCAACACCAATGTGAACAGCACACTCACCAGCATCAAACAGTTTTAAACCCCAATTTGGTACCCAAGGTAATTGTTTTCCTGATTTTCTTGGTGCTAGGCACTGCACTGTAACTTGTTGGGTATTTTGGAAGCATAAGTTGAGGTAGATTAACCAAAAAGCAACAAAATATAATAAAACATAGCAACACTAAACAAACACTTTCCCTAATTAATTAAGTTTATAATAAAACAACATTAAACAGGGACCCCTGTATTTTATTCTGCCTTATCAGTCCAGCCCCCCTTAACATATCATAAGAAGTCCCCCTTAATATTTAGACATCTATTACAGTACAGTACAGTAGTACCCGATTTACGCGGTCAATTGAACCCACAGGGTACAGCGGAAAGTGAAAACCGCGTAAAGTGAACAACAGAACATATGGGATTAATTCCAATAGAGACTGGCCCGACCCCCAAACTCCACTTTTTCCGACACAATACCTATGTTGTAGTAAAAATAACATCTAAATTTTATGATGGTATGCTCACACAATTAATATTTAAGAGAAATACAGTCGCCAGGTTTATGTCCATTCAAATAATGGACTCAAATCCCCCCCCCCCCTCTTCCCAGCTCACTAGCTCCTACCTCTCTGAGAAACGATTGGGTGAAAACACTAGATTTTAACGTTTAGTAATAAATAATACCTCAGACTAAAGTTAGGATAATATAATTGACATTTCTGGATTCCTTGCAGGTCAGGGAATATTTTGAATGTAAACTTCATATATTTTGCACAAAAGATAAAATATTTGCTTTGTGTAAACCAAATTATTACATTAGATCTAAAATTTGTATGTCTAATGCAAAATCCATGATGTTTATATTCAAAATGATCATCATATTGTAAGAATTCCAGCAATGTAAATTATATTCTGGTCGAGTAATTTGTATGAATTTTATGAGCTAAAACAAATATCTTCAGTTAATAAAAAAAAAAAATATTCTTCACGACACTATCTGTCAATCAAAGTACCCCACCTTGCCTCCCCCCCTCCTCACACTCACGCCAGCTGGGTCGGTCAGTCCCAACCCTCCCCCCCACCCCCCACCTTCCCTCCCTACCAGAGAAATGTTGGGTGAAAAAACTAGATTTTAACTTTTAGTAATAAATAATACCTCAGACTAAAGTTAGGATAATATAATTGACATTTCTGGATTCCTTGCAGGTCAGGGAATATTTTGAATGTAAACTTCATATATTTTGCAAAAGATAAAATATTTGCTTTGTGTAAACCAAATTATTACATTAGATCTAAAATTTGTATGTCTAATGCAAAATCCATGATGTTTATATTCAAAATGATCATCATATTGTAAGAATTCCAGCAATGTAAATTATATTCTGGCCGGGTAATTTGTATGAATTTTATGAGCTAAAACATATATCTTCAGTAAATAAACAAAGAAATATTCTTCAAGGACACTATCTGTCAATCAAAATACTCCGCCCTAGCTGGGTCAGTCCCTCCCTCCCCCTACCAGAGAAGCTTTGGGAGAAAATAGTATATTTACATTTTTAGTAATAAATAATAACTCAGACTAAAGTTAGGATAATATAATTGACATTTCTGGATTCCTTGCAGGTCAGGGAATATTTTGAATGTAAACTTCATATATTCTGCACAAAGGATAAAATATTTGCTTTGTGTAAACCAAATTATTACATAAGATCTAAAATTTGTATGTCTAATGCAAAATCCATGATGTTTATATTCAAAATGATCATCATATTGTAAGAATTCCAGCATTGTAAATTATATTCTGGCCGGGTAATTTGTATAAATTTTATGAGCTAAATAAAAAAAAATTAAAAAAATTATACTTCACCACGTATATGAGTAGATGCACCGCGGAAACTTTCAAAGTCCGGTTCTGGCAAGGTACCGTAAATGAGAAATCTCGGAAAGTGAAGGGTAATACTGTATATATATTTAAAAATTATATCTCAACTTCCCCTCCTCTACAGTTTCTTCTATTTCTCTCTCAATTCCACATTCTTTTATCCTCTCATGCTTTACACTGTTCCATTCTTCCAGTCCCTCATTCCAATTCCTGAACCTGAAAAATATCTTTGACCCACGCAGCTCCAACTCATAAATTTCATTTTAACAAAATGTTTTCTTTCACCCAAAATTTTCAGTCACTTGCTAAACCTAAATCCCAATTCTACTATTTTCACTATCTAATTCAGCAATAAATCCCTTTAAAAACTTGTAAGATTCATCATAAAAAGATAATGAAAAAGAGTTTTGGGTAGAACTTACAATATTCAGTAGAGCTTTGAGCTGTGAGTCTTCAGACAATTTCTCCCTTGCAACATCAATGCAAGTAGAAACAATACTAGTTGTGACAATTGTACCATACACCCAGGGCTTCAGTTGAAGATAAGTTTCTGCAGACTTTACTTGACCTTTGGTAAGTGCATCTTCTATGATTTCCTTCATTGGCTTGTCTCCCCAATCCTTAAAAAAATATTGATAAATTGTGAATATCGCACACTCATTATCTGCAAGCAGTCTTAAGTAAAACTTTCCAAAGACACTGTTATTGTTATGGCTGCTGGCTTTATCGTTGATGTCAACAACCATGTGCCTCCCCCACCCCACACACGGCCTGTTACCACACCACATGTAGCGACTGGAGGAGGCGGTGTTTACCACCGGGAGTGTCATCACCACTGGCATGAGCGCTGAGAGGGTGTCATGGATCTCATGACACAGATTGCCCTCTCGAGTGATGCCCCCCACCACGCGACCTGTTACCTCGACAGATGTGGCAGCTGGAAGTGTTCACTGGGACTGTCATCGCCACTGGCGTAAGCGCTGGCATCGCCGGGAGTGCTTTCATCACTGGCGTCAACACTAGTGTCAGTGCTGACGTTTTTGCTGCCTTACCCAACAAAGATTAGGGGGTGGGCGGTGTTTACGGAGAAGAGATCATGACTCTGCTAATGTATGGTTTAAAAGGCAGCGTGGCCACCTGGACTCTAGGACACTGCCCCCTCAAGTGATGCTGTGAGGATCAACACTCTGCTAGCAGTGGTGAACAACAACTCCCAATCCTGGCAGAGTTTTGTACTGGAACAATTTACACAGAACTACCTTCCCTTGGAACACCATACTGATTCACATTGACCCGCACTTGTAAGTACAGCCAAAGTGATGACATACCCCTCAGTACTGAAATATTGTGGACTAATTATGCCCACTCGTTCCTGCCTTATCTGGAGCAATAAGCCAACGCAGAATGAAGTGTAGCTAAGATTAATAGAGTTATGAACTTTGTATTATGTCATTATGCTCAATAATCAATTACAATTAAGATAAATTGTGAGACTAACTAATTATGTATCAGACAGGTCACCATGTAATACTAATGAATGCCTTGTTATCTGCAGGTTTTGACCACATCAATAAATATTGAATGCATCAAAAGACGGGTTTCAATCATTCCCTTCGACTTGCCCGTCACCTGAACGTCCTTAACTAAGGCGTTTACAGTCAAAACAAATGCGGAAGGGCATCGAAGGGAATACTCAACTACCAGGAGAAAAAAGGACCACAGGACACGTCACCAACGCCAGGAGTTCAGCGTGGAACAACGTAGATCGTCAATCAGCCACCTGCCCACAGTGGGTGGGACATCGGTGCGGGAGACAGTGTCGTGTGTGTGAATGAAGTGTTTAAATATCTGAGGGGTTGTCATAAAGTTTTCGGTTCAAGAGTACGGTCCTAAGAGCGTTTGCTTGTAACAAGCCGGCTCACGCACCCAGTGAGGCAAACCCACTCTCCCAGTGATTATAGTGTATGCACCAGCGATCATAACGGGCAGCTGACCAGGTTTGAGGTAACAAATAACCAACTTAACAAATTACGAGGTAAGTGTGATTAAATTAACTTAATATCACCCCAATTTGTGACACCATAAACAACCTGCAGTGATTCACTTGAAACACCGTAAGTAACCGACAGTAAAGTGTCGTTTGTAACACCATAAGCAACCAACAGTGACCTACTATTGTCAAACATACTTACAAGCAGCGAGCCACACCACCGAACGCAAATACAGTCAGTGAGCAGTGGTTCATCGAACAAACTTTGAGATCTAACCAGAGCTGAAAATAATTCTCAAAAAGAGGGCCAAAGGTAGCGGGAATGGATCCAGAGCAACGAAAGGGAAATGTGAACATGGATCAAGGTGACCAAGACCCAGAAGCAGTAGTTGACCCTCCAGAGCTGAACGACCACGATGTTACGGCCACAGAAGCTGAAAGGGACCACCCTCTGCCTGAGTCTGAATGCTCAGCACCTGACCAAAATCCCGGATCTAACATAATGGCAGAAGTACGACGAACTGTGACTGAAATGCTGGAAGCATATTTTGCAAAAGGGAACACAGCACGACGTTTGGAAGAAGGGAGCGACCAACCCAGGCTGAAGACAACATCAGGGGGGACTCTTGACAAGTCTCCCACTGGGATGACTGGACGCCCCAAGGGCCATGAGGAATCGACCGACAAAGATGAAGACGTGCAATAAGTTGAAATGGAGCAGCCTGAAAGGAGAGAGAAGTACGGCGGCAAGGAAAAATCCGGCAGCACCTCAACTTCACTGAAGGATATGTTGTCATCCTACCACATGCAAAATGCACGCATACCTACTTTCAAGGGGGAGAGCAGTGGAGAATATTGGGACTACATGAATAGCTTCAAGAGATATGTGGGAACCTCCACTGCCCCAGATTCGGAGAAACTTCAAATGTTAATCCACTCATGTTCAAGTAATATTCGGAATGTTCTGAACCCATTCACCAGGATGAAGTCCTATGAGGGCTATAGAAAGGCCCTGAGTACCCTGAAGGACCGGTATGGTGATGAGGACGCCCATATCGAAGAATTATTGATGAACCTGATCAACGGACCACCTGTCAAAATAACCAACAGCGAGGGCTTGCAGGACTTGGCTGGCGAACTTCAGGCGAGCATTTGCAGCTTCGAGTCCATGGACTCACAAGAAACCCTCGAGCATCTCCTCGTAAAGAAAGGCATAATTGAAAGGCTTCCTGGTCGTTTACAAGAAAGGTATGAGATTGCAGTCCTCGATCACCCTCCAAAGAGATATGGCTACATGAAAATAAGGGATATCTGGCAGTTCATACAAAGCAGAGCGAAGGAGGCAAAAAGGGCGCATACTCGATACACTAGCCTGAGGTACGAGGGAAAAGACCGATCTGGCAACTGTATGTCTGGCTTCCGCCCATGCGACATCGACGGGTGTGGTAAGGCACAATCAAGATGGCTCCACCTGCCAAAGGAAGGGGCAGATGTGCCGCCAAGAAAGGCAAGTGGGAGCAGCCGCCAGATCATAAAATCGAATAGGGTAGATGCTGACGTTAAGGAAGGCTGAGGATTCAAGAGAGAGCGCGAGGACTGTGACTTCGAAGATAGAGAACAGAGTGGTGGAACCGGAGGAAGAAAGAATAGAAAGAGAGAGCCCCAAGAAGATGACCAAGTCAATCAGCTGAGGCGGTTCGACCAAGCCGACAACAAGCAAGGAGAGAGGACATATGTGAATTACGTGGATACTACTGTAAGAGGGCGAGATCAATGACTAAGCCAAGACAAGGTCGTGCTCCCACTACTAGCAGTTCAAGTAATGGGAAAAGGGTTTACAGGATCAAAGAGAACCACGGCGCTACTAGACACAGGCAGCGACAGGTCTTACTGTGCCAAAGGACTGGTCGAAAGACTAAGAATACATGGGAAACCAACATCACTCTTCATAAACACGTTAACCCAAGGGGAACAATGTAACACCACAGAAGTAGATCTGGAAGTAAGAGGCATTAACACCCGGGGAGCGAAGTGCCCCATATCCCTTCCTAAGGTACTGGTACTTGACAGACTGCCACCTTCTTTAGAAAACTCAACAGCTACAGCCCTAGACATAGATGCTTGGGGACATCTTCAAGGACTTGCTCCACTTCCACCAAACAGACGAGTCGCAGAGTTACTGATTGGACAAGATTGCCCAGATGCCCTGACTCCCCTCGAGTGTCGGACGGGGCCGGATGGAGCACCTTTTGCAATAAGGACAAGATTGGGTTGGACGATCAATGGGCCCCTGATGGGCAATTTAATTCACAGGTTTACAACGGAATGTTCCATGCTAACTGCCTCTACAGAAAAAACTCGTTTGGAAGAGCAGGTGAGGCGCTTCTGGGAAATCGAAGCATTACACCAGACCCCGGGAGATGGCTCCCCATCATCGGTAGAGGATAAACGGGTCATCAAGCTTTGGTCGTCGACTGGACAAAAGAGTACCAAGAGATATGGCTGCATATTCACCTGTCTAGCTACTCGTGCAATGCACCTGGAGGTGTTGGAGTCTCTAGATACAGATGCACTCCTAAACGCTACTGTCCGCTTCATCGCCAGAAAGGGTACGACTCCGAAACGTATTCGTTCAGACAATGGCACCAACATGGTCGGGGCTTGCAAGGAACTCCGAGCGGCAGTGCGTAGTTGGAGGAATGATGAACGCAAAAACAGACACTTTCAGAAGAAAGATATAGAATGATTCAACCCTCCAGCGGCTTCACACATGGGAGGAGTCTGGGAATGGCAAATCCGAACAGTCAGTAAGGTTCTCAGAGCAATTGTGGGGACCCAAGTCCTGGATGAATATCGACTGCAGACGCTATTTTGTGAAGTGGAAGCAATCATAAACAATCGACCCATCACCCCTGCCTCGAGCGACGTGAGGGACCTGGAAGCGCTTACACCAGCCCACATCCTCCACGGTGGCCCACACGCTGATCTGTCACTAGGAGGATGTCTTCTGAAGGACTCACATCAATGACGGTGGCGGTGCGTGCAGTTCCTAGCAGACCGCTTCTGGAAACGCTGGGTGAGGGAGTACCTTCCACTACTCCGCAAAAGACAGAAGTACATAGAACCAACCCGAGATCTCCAGGAAGGCAACCTCGTCCTCGTCACTGGGGAAAATCTTCCTCGCAACAAATGGCCATTGGGCAGGGTCACGGCAGTGGTCCCAGGAGCTGATGATCTGGTACGCCAGGTGCGTGTACAAACAGTATCTGGGAAGTTCCGAAGGCCAGTGACCTGTGTATGCCTTCTTGAACACGCCACACCGTAAATCTTGGGCGATTGCCCAAAGCCGGGAGTGTTATCACCGCTGGCTTTATCATTGATGTCAACAACCATGTGCCTCCCCCACCCCACACACGGCCTGTTACCTCGACAGATGTGGCAGCTGGGGGGGGGGGGGACGGTGTTTACCACTGGGACTGTCATCGCCACTGGCGTAAGCGCTGGCATCGCCGGGAGTGCTTTCATCGCTGGCGTCAACACTAGTGTCAGTGCTGACGTTTTTGCTGCCTTACCCAACAAAGATTAGGGGGTGGGCGGTGTTTACGGAGAAGAGATCATGACTCTGCTAATGTATGGTTTAAAAGGCAGCGTGGCCACCTGGACTCTAGGACACTGCCCCCTCAAGTGATGCTGTGAGGATCAACACTCTGCTAGCAGTGGTGAACAACAACTCCCAATCCTGGCTGAGTTTTGTACTGGAACAATTTACACAGAACTACCTTCCCTTGGAGCACCATACTGATTCACATTGACCCGCACTTGTAAGTACAGCCAAAGTGATGACATACCCCTCAGCACTGAAATATTGTGGACTAATTATGCCCACTCGTTCCTGCCTTATCTGGAGCAATAAGACAACGCGGAATGAAGTGTAGCTAAGATTAATAGAGTTATGAACTTTGTATTATGTCATTATGCTCAATAATCAATTATAATTAAGATAAATTGTGTGAGACTAACTAATTATGTATCAGATAGATCACCATGTAATACAAATGAACGCCTTGTTGTCTGCAGGTTTTGACCACATCAATAAATATTGAATGCGTCAAAAGACGGGTTTCAATCATTCCCTTCGACTTGCCTGTCACCTGAACGTCCTTAACTAAGGCGTTTACAGTTATTATTTACTATCATCACACATTTAAGAGTTTAGAATCTACAAATAATGTTGTAAACATTTTCTATGGACTTCAATTCACTGCTTTAGTTGTCATATAAAGGAAACAGAAGCAAATGCATGAAATGAGGTCTATTAAGGCATCGAGACCACAAAAACTAAGAGTATCCAATCATTACATACATCAAAATCAAAAAATTAGGAAGGAAGCCAATCACCCCTCAAACTGATGAACAAACCCAAGGTCACCTGCTCACCAAGTTAAAACCAGGGCTGTGTGACGCAAAAGAAAAGAATCCAAATTAAGAGAAAAAGCTTATGAGGAGCCAATCACTGACACAAGGAATCTTATACCATCATTGTTTCTGCCACTCTCTTATGAGAAATGGGTGAAGAAAGGATCTGAAATGCCTATTCCTGTAGAAGATGTGAGGAGTAGACAACAACACTTATATCTGGATCAAACCCAAGGAACTCATATCCAACAACTTATAGAGGGTTTTATGAGAACATAAAGTATAATCCTGTAATATGTACCAACATAAACAAGTCTGGATAAGAATACTACATTACAATCACTATCAAACCCTTCACTACAGGGATGCTGCTTTTAATATTTTATTTGGTTAATGCTTGACAATTTATTCAGCTCAGAGTCGACTCCATACACAACGGGTTAAACATTTGGATAGGCATGATATATATATATATATATATATATATATATATATATACAGCTGCTCCCCGACTTATGACGGGGTTAGGGACCCAAATCCAGGTCGTAAGTCGAAATGGTCATAAGTCGAAAATGCTTAAATAATACTGTACATAGAAAATCTAAAATGGGTGTCTCTTTTTCTTCTCAGCACCACAAAACTCTCACTTTTAAGCTTGCCAGCCATTTTCAAGTGAATTACAAACGAAAATTTTGTCAGTACACAGCGCAATCACTGACGTTGGGACTCGAAAATACGTAATTTGACAAAATTTTGGTACGACTGAGGCGGTCTTATGTCCAGGTGGTCGTAAGTCGAGTAAGTCGTAAGTCGGGAAGTAGCTGTACAGTATATGCACCCTAAAAAGAAGGGAGATTAATTAACCCAAAATTGACAAAATTATATAGAGTACAGTATAATTAGCTGGCAGGACTGCAACATCACTTCTTCTACACTGTACTAGGGAAATCGGTAAGTTAAAATACACCCAATAAAAGCTCAATCTGGGGAGAGTGGAAGATAAAATTAGATGTATTTAGAGTGCCACCTTTATGGAGGGAGAAAAAATCATGTATCAGGTGTGATACCAGGTACTTTATATCACATAACCTCATATACAGTAATATCTAGATTCAGTAATAAATAATACTGGAAGCAAGATTGGCAAAAATAATCAACCAACAGTTTATAAGGAAAATTAACAAAAGCAACTCATAGTACATGGGCATTATAAAACAGATATACAGAACTGTACATTGAAATGCCTGTCAGTTTAATGAGCACCCAGTTAAATAAGTGTTGTAACTTTTTGGTAAAGAAAAAAGTTACTGAACATGAATTCTTAATGTACAGTGACCCCTCGTTTAACGAACGCCTCGGTTAACGAAATTTCGGTTAACGAACTGCCTTCCATAAGGATCTTCAATTCGGTTAACGAACAAAAATTTGGTTAACGAATTTCTTACGAACCGACCTCAACATGTTTTCGGTTGCACTGACCGGGCAACCAGCTTTAGTATCAGTCCGCCAATACATTAATCGGTTCTAGGGCATAAATTCCTTACTATTTTAGTAAATATCAAGAAGTTTATACTATTCAATAATTTTAAAAAGTTTAATATTAACTTTTTTAGTCATTTTAACAATTATTGAACATAATTGAAGGTAAAGAAACTAGTTTCTGGCGTGCCATCCAGCCTGTTAACACACCAGACAGGCGTTAGTCTCTCTCTGTTTTCAGTGGAGGCAACATCTTGCTTGAGACTTTCTTCAACTAAACGCTTTTTTTCTGTGTTTCCAAGCAAATTATTGGTCATTTTGAAATATATTTTACATATTGACAATATATAATGCAGTACAGTGTTGATTTAAAGAAAAAAATCTTGAAATACACCAAGAGAACTAAAATTTTATGGATGAAATGGTGCCATGGGGTGACTTCTCTTCCACCCCAATGCCTTTTCTTCTTCCTTCTCCTCCACCCCCATTCTAATTCCCATCATCATCATCATCATCATCATCCAGGAGCCTTTTACATACACACACCTCAAAGTAAGTGAACTTTTCTACCATTTTTGTTGAATTTAGGAAATTTTCGGTGAGCTGGAACCAATTACCCAAAAACCCATTGAAACAATGGTTTCGGTTAACGAACGACCTTCTGGAACGGATTGAGTTCGTTAACCGAGGGGTCACTGTATTAAATTGCTAGAGAGAGATCAATATATGAACCACATGATTTTTAATCTCCCTTAATTTACAATCCAACAAAGAAAGAGAAAACAGTGATAACAATAATTCAGGACTTACTGCATGGTGCTGAACTAGTTCACTGTCATTTCCTGCTTGTGGCAACTGCAACTGCTCTACACTACGTAGATAAAATGATACCTGAAAAATAAGTAAAAAAAAAATATAAATAAACAAAAATGTATAAAGAATTTCACATAAGAAACCTTTGTATCTAGCTTAATTCAGTAGTATTTAGTTAATACTTCTCAAGTTTACTGAAACTTCATATGAATATGTATTTTGATGAGTACAATACTATATACAGTATAGCATTAAATTAAGAAACCCTTTGACATCAATTACCACAGGGTCTGCATTTTGACAGTACCTGTACCTGATGACAACCGCAGTGTCTGCATTTTTCATTTGCATGCCTTACATTTAAACATATCATTTTCTATGTTGTTCTCTGGGGCTCTAAAGCAGGGGTGGGCAAGATACTGCCCGTGGGCCAAATTTTGCCGGCCAGACAATTATTTCTGTGGCCCGCCATTGCATGTGGCAATGGAGAATTTTTTTTTTTTTTTAATCTTAGAATGGATCAATATTATGCGGGAACTGGCCACCTATAGCAGCAAGACCAGCTCATCACCTGCTGACCTGGCCTTGTGAATACCCCCAGTATGGTTATCCATAGGGACTAGGCAAAGGGAGGTCAGTAAACCCTTACCTGAGAAACCCGTTCTTGATCATATGACCTGGACGACCACACCCACACTTCAATATTGTGTCACACACTGACCCGGGCGTCCAGCACCAACACTAGAGAAGCTCAGCCTTCTCTCTGCTTCTCACTTAAGAGGATGTTACTGTGGTTTTGCAGAATTTGTACTTATGTGTTGTTGTCCCCAACCCATAATTTCTAAGTGAAAATGAGTGAATCTAGGAAGAGGAAAGCTGCAGCAGTGTCGAACATTCAACAAGGAATGGACTTCTAAATATTTTTTTACCAACGTGGATGGAAAAGCAGTGTGTTTAATTTGCAAAGAAAGTGTGGCAGTGCTAAAGAATTACAACTTAAATTACCATTTTGAGACCAATCACTCCAGTAAATATAAAAAAAAATTCTGATGAACAAAAGAAGAAGAAAGCTAACGAGATGGTTGCTCAATTACAACAACAGAAAAGTATTTTCAAAAAACAATTTGCATCCCAGGATGGTATTACAAGAGTGAGTTATGTGACAGCTCACAAAATTACCAAAAACAGCAAGCCATTCTTTGAAGGAGAATTTATAAAGGAATGTATGGCTGATTCTGCCTCTATTTTATGTCCAGACAAGAAAAAACTGTTTGAGAAAGTAAGTTTGTCAAGGCAAACAATTGTAAGACATGCAGAGGACATTGCTGAGAACATGTATCTGCAGTTTAAAGTGAAAGTAAGGACTTTTGAATAATATTCACTGGCACTTGATGAAAGCTGTGATGTCAGAGACACAGCGCAGTTGTTAATTTTCATTCGAGGCATCACCAAAAATTTTGAGATCACAGAAGAATTGGCATCAATGCAGCCACTGAAAGGAACAACAACTGGAGAAGACTTATTGGAGGCAGTAAATAACTGTACAGTATTTTGAAATTAAGAATAGAGTGGAAAAAAATGGTAAATGTGACCACCGATGGAGGGCCAAATCTGACAGGTAAAAATGTTGGATTGCTGAAAAAAATTCAAGATCAAGTCAGAGAAACAAATGCAGAACAAAATATTGTCTTTCTACAGCGCATTATTCATCAAGAAGTCCTTTATAAGAGTGTTTTAATTTAAGCCATGTCGTGGACAGTTGTAAAAGTGGTTAATTGCATTCGAGCAAGAGGATTAAATCACAGACAGTTTATATCCCTGCTCGAAGACTTAGAATCTGATCATACAGATGTACTATATCACACAAATGTGAGGTGGCTTGGTTTGGGAAAAATCCGGAAAAGAGTTTGGGAACTGAAAGAAAAGATTGGCTTATTTTTGGACATGAAACAGAAAGCTATAGATTTCCCACAGTTGAATGATGAAAAATGGTTCTCCAATTTCGCATTTGCTCTTGATATCATGGGTCATATGAATGACCTGAAATCAAAGTTACAAGGAAAGGGGGCTTTTGCACATGATTTATACAGCAGTGTCAAGGCTTTTATGAAGAAATTACTTCTTTTGTCTTGTCAGATAACAAACAAACAGTTTGCTCACTTTGCAACCTTACAACAGATTGCAGTTTGTGATCAAAATGTACAGAAGTACTCATTGCAGCTACTTGACTTGCATGCTGAATTTTCACCCCGATTCCAGGATTTCAAATTAATTGAAAATAACCTGTCTTTGGCGTCTTCTCTTTTCATGTTGACAAAGCCCCATTTGACCTACAATTCGAGCTTATTGACCTGCAATGTGATCCTCTGCTTTCTGAGCAGATGAAATCAGTGCCTCTTCCAAAATTCTATGCCTCTCTTAATGACTGCATTTCCAAAACTAAAGGCTCATGCCCAAAGAATGCTTGTGCTGTTTGGATCAACATATATATGTGAGCAGACGTTTTTGGTAATGAAGCTGAATAAATCCAAATTTAGATCTTCAATGACTGATAATCACCTTGAACAAGTTCTTTTCATTGAAACAACAGAGGCAACACCTGACTTCAGTGGTCTGGTTAGCAATCATCAGCGCTGTCATTCATCCCACAGAGTAAGTTAAATATTCTTATCAACATATGAACAACTTCAAATATTACATAATCACATATAGTTTTTTTTTACTTGCCTTTAGTTACTTATTTTTAACAATTAAAACAACTTTATGACTTTTTATTCATCAAGAACAAATAAATATTAAATTTTATTAATTTTATTTATCAAGCAGAGTGCAGCAGTGACAACGTGGATCAGGGACAGCTACAATCAGACCTGGACGACTCCACCCAACTACCACTTCCCTAGGGAAGTCGGAAGAAGCAGGATTAGCTGTGATCAGACCTGACCAACTCAACCCTACCACCACCTCCCTTGGGAAGAGTAAAGATAACGTCTCAAGAGAAGAAGAATTTCAGCCAGCAAGATCAATTCTGTTCTATTACATTGATGTCCTTAAAGTACTAATTATACTGCACCTTAACTCTATATTATTACTAGTAGTATTAATATTAGTATTTGTATTAGCATTATTATAAATAACAAAAGAGACAAGCTAAGAAGTGATATATTTATTTACCCAAAATATCTATGTATGTTATTTAATATTTTCCTTACATCCTATATATAAAAATACAAGCCTTTACTTTGTGCAAATATTATGCATTTGCATCTTTATTAAGTCTGAGGCCCGCGAAGTGTACCACCATTCATGAAGTGGCCCGTCAATCAAAATAATTGCCCACCCCTGCTCTAAAGGCATCAATGTCTCTGCAGAACCCAAGTAACCAAAGAGTGTGTTTGGTTTGATTATCTTATATTTCGTGACTGCTAACTATTATTTTATTTATTATATGTTCATAATTCTGTACAAACTACAATCAACCATAATTTTTGGATGAAAATATACTAATTGAGGTTAGGAAGGTAAGTATTGTATCTAGAATACGTATTTGTTTTATATAAAATGAAAGTTCTTTTTACAGCTATGCAATATCACTGTCATCATCATTCTTGGAAATTAAAAAAAATTCTGTTGTAGGGGGAGACCATACGGTAAAAAAGGAAGCCTGATTTTTCGTATATCTGATGTATAATTCGACCCTATCTTTTGAGAAATACCAGGTATAATCCTAAACATATTTTGCAGCAAGACACCAGACTCTCATTAATGCATCTTGGCCATGATTACTACTAGCAAACTAGTAGGAAGTTGAAGGGTTAAAAATTTCTGTCACACAATCGTATTCTACTGGATACATATATCTCACCTGTTCTGTCATTTGTAACACCATCTGAGATATATTTTCACTGTCAATGTACTGAAGCACATTACTCATCTCTTCTAGTACACTCTGAAACACAAGGTAGTGCAGCATTATTAAGAGAGAGAGTAACCTTACTGTTTAACTTACTATAAAACTCTAATATCCAATATGATAACAAAGCAATTACCACTCTAGGATAATTGTCATACACCCTCTGAACAAAGATTTTTGTCCCCATCCTTCTAGAAAAGGATACAGTAATTTGTCCCCTCATCTACAGACAAGGATAACGGCCCATCTCCTCCTAGGCAAGGGCATTTACCCTGTCCTTGGACAAGGATAACCATTATCCCTACCCTCCACACAATTATTAATTTCATTTTTTAACCATGTAACTCTGAAAAAAAAGTTCACTCACAATATCAGCCCTGTATGTCATTAGTTCCTACTTAAGGTATTTGCCATGAGTCAGCTGATTCCTTTGTATACAGTATTATCAGCGGTTAGTAATAAAATTTCTTTGCTGCTTGTGTTCTAAAATATATTGAAAATTAAGTATTATTCAAATACAGAGTGAGGTTACAATGGCAAGTTATTATCGTTTGCAATCACAGACGAGAGGTTGTACACTGATCTTAAAAAGGGTGTACAGTATTTCCTACTTCGAGAATTGAGGGTGTAGTACAATGGCAGGTGCTGTATGTTTACCAGTATGAGCAGTAGATCATAACAATGACTGAATTTGATATCAAATTTATTTATTTCAGATCCCTGGTAGACATAGGCTGTGAATTCCCTCAGTGTGCCCAACATGGTATGCTACAGTACCCTGAGGGTTTAGTTTGAATACTAGGCTTGTTTAAAGGCATTTAAGCAATGATCCTTGACAGTTAATAGTTATTCTGGGGAATGAGGGCTGGGGTTATGTAGGGGACAGCTGTCAAACAGCCACTGTCTTGAGACACAACTGTCTATGAAGTTAGGGTGGAGGTGGAGGGAGGATTTTATCATTGAGGCAGTTATTCAAGACCTATCCACTGGTGATGGGATGCTAATAGTGTGTCAGCCCTTGTGATGGAAATATCTACCAAATATCTAATAACTGATAAAGTTGGTAGCAATTAAACTTTTTTATATTTAAGCACCTGTTTCAGTATATAACTCTGACTATGTAACACAACATATAGGGGTAAAATTTATCATAAATCATACTGGATGGTAGGAACCTAACCTTATTTGTGATTCCTTCCAAGATACAATCTCACACACAAACTGGTATCTATTGTAAAAAAAAACCTTAAGAATTCCCAGTTAACCTCTACGCCCCGGTTGACATTCCATCTAGAGCACCCCGGTTGACGTTCCGGAACACGTGCCTTTCACAGCATTGTTTGAATGCCCAGCATGGGTTATTACGTTCCAGTGTGACTATTTGCCTGTCACGCCACACGCTCGGCCACAGGGAAGCTTCCTGAATGTAAGTACCTACCGGTACTTTTGTTTGTTTCTTTTTCATTGTTTGTCCATCTTATCATGTTGTATCAAAGTAATATTGCTAAAAGTAGTGTAGTATTACTGGTAAATAGTGCTATGATCATGTTATAAATGTATTTATTTGTGGAATTATTATTCCGATAATTATTTATATGCATTATCTGCTCTACCAAACACAAAGACAGCCAGAAAACCTGGCGACAGACTGCGTGTGTGTCGCCGAGCACTTTTTAAGAAAAAAAAAATGCAAATAAAATATTCTAAATGAATTATAATTTATAGTGAATAAGTATTACGAACAGTGAATATATGCATTACTGGCCATCCCGGACACAAAGGCAAGCAGAAAATGGCCGCTAAGTGCATAGTGACAACGAGTGCTAGCCGTCAAAACAACACTGTCACCTTATCTCCCTCGCCACTGCTGCCCCAGGGAAGTTTCTAGAGGGTCAATATATAGTTTTCTTACTTCTTTTTTAATGTTTTATCATTTAAAAAGGTTAAAAATTATATTTGGAAAAGTTGATTTTTCTCGATTTACCTCATTTGTGAGGAATACGGCCAGTGGCAACCCTAGCCCTGGGAGTAGGGGTTAAGAGTCAATCTCTACGTTTTCTATGTAACATATTTATTAGTGATGCTCAAATATACATTGTGGGAGTCTGTATGCTGGAGTGCCCATCATAAGACTAATGCAGGACATAACATTCAGAGATATATGTAATACAGTATTCCCACATGCATTTCTGAACGTCATGTCCAAAAAATACGGTATCCCTTTAAAACAGTTTCACACAGCACAGGGAGCCCCCCAAGTTCGCGGATTTTCATTTTGCGGTCCTCTATTATTCACGGACGACACCCTGGATGTACCCAAGAATGTCTGTGGGTAGTTTTAAAGTTGACGGCATTTTTGCGGCTGGGACAAAAAGCCATTCGTTCTAGAGACAGGAATTTCTTTTACCTGTATTGTATACATGTGTGAGTGTGTGTAGACACACACACACACAAAACACATACAAATAAATAATAAAGGAAAAATACTATCACAAATAATCAGAAACAAATTTATTAAAAATGTGAGTCTACCCTCAAGTCACATTTTTAATAAATTTGTTTCGGATTATTTGTGATAGTATTTTTCCTTTATTATTTATTTGTATGTGTTTTGTGTGTGTGTGTGTCTACACACACTCACACATACCCCCTGTATATACAATACCTGTACAGGTAAAAGAAATAATTGTCCTAAGGGCAAACACATAAAGGGAATATACATTTATTTGTACACAAGTAAAAATGTATCCCGCCCGGTCCGCAAATGTTAAAAAGTTATTCGCGGATTTGTTGATTCGCGGTCATTTTGAGAACCTACCTCCCACGAATTTGGGGGGCCCCCTGTACTTATCTTTTCTATTTAGCTAAAACAGGCCTATTATGCTGATCAGAATGGCTCATGGAAAACTTTCTCAAAATTCACTAATGACTCTTTTTTCAATAAAAAATACCAGAAATTTATAATTAAATGACGCAAATTGTAGGATTAGATCTCCTTTCTTTTGGAACACTGAGAGCAGTGAATTAAATGTCTTGTGGTTCTAAAGGAAGACTGAATTAATCAGTTTTCTTACAATATTCAAAATTATGGAGGTTTTACTGTACAACGGAAAAAAATCTGTCAAATTAATTCCTCACCGAGAAATGATGCTTGGCGAGGTACTTGAGAGATAACGCTGTGGAATGTGAATCCTCCTGCTGAGCATAACGAGGAATGTAACTGAGAAGTAAATCTGCAAGTTGACCATACTGCTTTGCTCTCATCTCTGCCAGACCTGTCCAACCCTCTTGGTGGTTACATGATGCCAGGAATACACTCAACCCTATCAGATAAACAGTACCTGCACTTTATTATCAAATCATAAGATATTTTCATCAAAATAGTTAAATATAGATACAAAATGACAATACGTATATAATTTAACTCATCACTATTTATATTCAAAAGCAATTATGAAATAAACTTCAAGGATAAAGCATAAACTAAGGCATTACAAATACAGGTAGACCCCAATTTACAGATGGCTGATGATCTTCAAAGACAGGATAAATACTTATCCACTGCATCAATTTATAAATGAAAAAAATAAATAAATAAATAAAATCATATTTTCTTCATAACATTGGAAGAAGCTGAGGTGCTGACACAGGCCTCTGGAAGTTTGCTGTGCTGAACAGTGAATACAGTCTCTCCTCGACTTACGACAACCCGGACATGGTCATATAAAATATTTTTCACATTACGTATTTTCGAGTCTCGACATTAGTGATCGCGCTGTGCACCGACAAAATTTTCGTTTGTAATTCCCTTTAAAATGGCTGGCAAGCGTAAAAGTGAGAGTCCTCTTGGTGCTGAGAAGAAAAAGAGACACCTATTTTAGAATTTCTATGTATTATTTTCGCCTCTTCGATTTACGACCTGGTTGTCGGGACGGAACCCCGTCGTAAGTCAAGGAGAGACTGTAGTGTTGTCTTCATCCATAATGTGTGTTGCTTCATTTTTGAAGAGTTTGCGGTGTACAGTATGTCTACTCTATACGAAACTGCTCCTCAAATTCCTGTAGTACCTCAGGCTCTCAACTGGCTCAGCCATGTTAAAATTTATATTTTTATCGACTCTGTATTTGTGTTCTTCTGACTAAATAAACTGCTTCAATATCAATTTGCTATACATATACAGTACCGTTCCTCAAATATTCAAATACAGTAGGGTAGGGATATATCGTTACTTTATAAAAAAAAATTATATCATGGCTACCAAAATTATAGTACACATATCGGCATTTTCCTATATAGCGATAATTTTTTTATTTCGCGAGGGAAAACAGGCAGGAAATATTTCAAATGTACCGCCATGGCAAACAAATGTGTTATTTGCTCACCAGAGGTGCCACCGTGGCTACTCACTCGCGCTTTCACGCTCGCCCGCTCAGTCTTTCCAAGTGAGTGACGAGAAAGCAACCGACTGCTGCGGATTACGACTTCTAAGGTGAGTGTAAATGGGTTGCTAGTGATGTGAAAAGTGAAGTGAAGATACAGGTGCTCCTCTACTTAAGAACGCTCAACTTACAAACTTTCAGAGATACAAACATCATCACTGAGGGGGGGGGGGGGGTTACCTACCAGAACAGGTGTTTAAGGCTGTATTGAAGGGCATAGCTGTACTAAATAACCATAATCTTTTCATTTTTTACAATATGTTTGGTATCTACAAGAGTAAATTTGGACTTACAAACAAGCCTCAGGAACGTAACTCGTTCGTAAGTAGAGGAGCACTTGTAATGGAAAGCTTAATGGAAAAGATTTAATAATGGAACTAATATTTTTGGTGTTCGTTTATGTAGGTGTGGGATTGTCATGTTTAGTGTTCCCAAGATGGTGCGTCAGCTGCCGAGTCTGGTGTTCCTTGATATTGAAATAGCCTGTTGTTCCAGAGTCTAGTGATCATTGGTGCTTTAGTTAGTAAGAAAATTAACTCGTTAAGTCAAGTTTAGTCACTTTTTTTTCGTATCCAGAACCTAACCTTATTTTCTCCATTGATTACATGTACAGTAATTATATATCGCGATTTAGTATATGGCGAACATCGTTGGACCCCACCTCGCAATATATTCCGACCCTACTACAGTACAGCAATTTTTGAGCGACTGCATCATGCCCTGACACGTAGACGCATATTGGGCACGTGGGTAGGCTAGCTGCAAGGAGAACTTAGGCTGTAGGCTCGAGTGCTGCAATTGGCTACTACTGTCATGTGACTGCATGGGATGCCTGTGATTGCCCGATGCATCTCCCAGCCTATTTCCTCAAACCCTAGCATCATAACGTGTTTAGTTCTTAGTCTGCTATCATTGTAGAAGGTTGCTCCCTCACTCACTGCTGTTTTTGCAAATGATCTGTGTTCTGCAGTACTGCACATTACTGTACCAGCATACAGTGTTAAGCTGTAAACAGTGATTACAGTTACGTACACTGTAATTTAGATTCAATAAGTATAAGTACCATACGTACGGTACTGAGCATAGCAGAGTGGACAGTGTTTGCATTCTAAAGCCTCGTGTGTAGATGTGTGTGTACTGTACTGTACATTATATTGTACATGTACAATGCTAAAAGCTACAAAAAAATTCCCTGGCACCAAGGGGTCGAGGAGAGGCACAGTGAAAAGACTGTCCATAAAAAAAATTAGACATTCTGAACAAACTTGAAAAGAATGTGCCTGTAAAAGTGTTAATGAAGGAGAATGGAGTGGGCAAGTCGAGCATTTACAATGTGAAATATGCTAAAGGAAAGCTGAGAAGGCAAGGACAAAAAGCTATGCCAGGTACAGGTGAGGAAGGTAGCCTCACCCTTACTCATATGGGTAGCTTAAAGTACGAGAAAGCTGATGCTGTGGTGTATAACTGTTACAAGCAGCAACACACTGCAATTTTCAATCCTGCTGGAGATGCCTGATTTCTGTGGGAGCTTTGGGTGGGTCTTTAAATAGGAAAATCCACTTTAATTTAAAGATTTTTTATTAACAAATGTTTTTCAAGAACATATCCCTTATGTAAACTGAAGTCGACCTGTATCTGAAAAGTAAAGTCCTACCATAATTTATCAATACTTTGATCTATGAAAACTAAGGCTCCCCCCCCCCAAAAAAAAATGGAAGAATTACAAACTGACCATCTACAAACCTTGTTCTATCATGGCTTTAACCTCTGATACTTTAGCCAAGTTCTTCTCCTCAAGACCTTCATTCATACCACCCAGTAATTCTCCAATGTCAACCTCAGAATCCAGACTACTTATAGAGGCATCCTGCAAAACAAATCACAGAATACAAATGCAAGCATAAAATGTTCTACTTCACCTTGATTACCTTCTAAACCTTTTACTTATTGAGCACTTTAATGGTATAGAAACACCCACTAGTATACCCATCCATCCACATAGTCCACGTAAGAGAAGACCTCTTTTAATTTTTCTTTCATTTTACAACAGAATCCCTGTTCACAATGTGACTAGTATGGTTGTGTATGCAGGATATAATAAATAAAAAAATAGCAGTAAATTAGAAAGGTGTGTTCTGTTCTTAATACAAATATTTAAACCCAAAGCTACAAAAGATCATAAAGCAGACAACCAAAAACCAAAGTACAGTTATTCCCTCAGTTTTTGTCTGGATCAGAATAAGATATTTTAATCAATACAACTTATCTTATAGCCTGAGCTCACAGCATGGTGGCCTAATTTGTTTTTACCTAATCCAGTTTGGTTGACATACTGTATAAACAGTAAAGCCTCGAATAACGATGGTAATGTGTCCTCCAATATTGCAGTGTAAGGTGAATCATCGTATCGCAAATCATTAATTACCATTAAAATAAAGCAATAATAATGAGATGCATTCCCAAGTGTGGCCTTTTCATATCTTTAGTGTGTCTTTTTACTCTCTTTTTTCCCCAAAACAATACAATGCACCTTATACAATATAAATGAATAATAATATGGTCACACAAGAGGAGATGGGACGCCATTGTTTTTGTTTGTGTTTACAGCCGAGAGTCCGGGACGATAGTTCTACACGAGAAAATTAAGAAAATAAGACCCTGGTTGTAGCTGTAGTGAAATTAATGTAAAAAAATGAATATGTATGTTTTAAGTAATGTTATTTAATGTTAATAAATGGAACAATAGAAGTAGCTAACCACTAATGGTGAAGAAAAAAAGTGAGATGGATTGGGAACGCCAACATGCACGTGCGCATTTAAGGATACCGTGTCATTTATCTTTTTAAGAACATGTACAAAAGATTCATTATTGTTTATGACTGAATATGTATTTGATTGAATTGATCTTTATATATGCGAAATGAACAATATAATTCATTAATAATACATAGAATATTAAAACACACAAGAGGATAAGAGATGGCATTGTTGTCAGTGTTTACACCCATAATGTCAGTTATCCACCTGAAACTGAAGAAAATAAGACCCTGGTTGTTGTTGTTGTAAAATTAATGTGAAAAATATGTATGTTTTAATTAATGTTATTTGATGTACAGTAAAGTAACCACTGATATTAAAGAAAAAAGTGAGATTGATAGTGGAGCGCCAATGTATATGTGCACACTCAAGGAAACATAGTCATTTATCTTTAGAATATGTACAAAAGGTTCATTATTGTTTATTACTGAATATGTATTTGATTGAATTAATGTTTATATATGTGAAATGAACAATGCAATTCATTAATAATATGTAGAATATTAAAACACACACGAGGAGACAAGACGGCATTGTTTTCGTGAGTGATGAAGAAAATAAGACCCTGGTTGTAGCTGTAGTGAACTTAATGTAAAAAAATTAATACCTGTATGTATGTTTTAAGTAATGTTATTTAATGTTAATAAATGGAACACTAGAAGTAGCTAACCACTAGTGGTGAGCACAGCTAAACAAAAAGTTAGCTTTGCTAACCGCTAATCTGCTAACTAAAAAGTTAACTTCGCTAACGCTAAACAGCTAAAAAAATTAGCGGAAGCTAACACTAACCGCTAACTTTTATTATATGAATTTAGCTTCGTTTTCTTTTGGTGGGGGGGGGGGGCTCTAAAACCCTTAAAAACAGACCTAGACAGCTGAAATTTTCATATGTTGTCTTGTAGCTTAGACATAGAGCTTTCCAAAAAGGTATAGCATGCCAAGATCAGATGATGATCAAGGTGTACATAAATAATTAAATGAACTAATGAAATAAAACATTAGTTTACATTCAAGTTTCAACATACACTTTATAATCTTTATTTACTGTACGAAAAGACAGAAAGTATTAAATGAATCCAAAAAATATAGTACTGTATAGCATAGGTAGCAAATAGCATCATTCCAATATCAGATGATGATCAACTTATCAAGGTGTACACTGTACACAATTTCACAAATAATTAATTTGCATTCTCATACAACCTATCGGCCTTATTCATTATTCATGTAAATATGTAATACCAACCACATACACATTATACCAGTGCATTTTTATATAACTCATTGTTGGCCTTAGTCATGTAAATAAACAGAAAACTTTAAACTTTAATGAAAAGTAAGTTTTTAGAAAAATTTGTTTGGCACACACCTTGGATGACATCCTGGTTATGAACTTAAGCAGTACTTAGCATAACCAAATATATTGACACAAAAAAATCCTAATTAAATTAACAAATACAGTGGGGTATGCTATAACGAACGGATCCTACTACGAATATTCCTATAACGAACGTTTTTACCTATAAAATTGAGAATGCTATAACGAACGCCAATCCTACAACGAACGCGGATGAATACGGGACTATTTCGCTTGGCGCATGAATATTGTTGTACCGCGTCAGGTGCCATCTTTGTCTCATTGTGTAGCCAGTGCACCACTGTTATTGTTGAAATTTCGTCTTTTGATATGGAAATAGAGTTATTTGTATAAATATTTCGTTATACAAGTGTACAATTGTAACAATGAATCGTCCAAAGCGAGTGAGAAAGCTCATAACTCTTGAAACTAAGAAAGAAATCATAAAGAAACGTGAGGATGGAACAAGCATTGCGAAACTTAGTGATGAGTATGGGATGGCTAAATCGACTATATGTACGATTTTGAAGAATAAAGAGGAGTTAAAAACTGTGCAAGTGGCTAAGGAAATCTCTAGACTTAGCAAAGCAAGGTGTAATGTGATTGAGGAGACGGAAAATTTACTCTTAGTGTGGATAAAGGAGAAAGAAATGGCAGGTGATAGCATTAGTGAAGCTATAATTTGTGAGAAGGCCAGACAATTGTTTGAGGACCTTAAAGCCAAGACTCCCAGTGCAAGTGATAGTGATGTGCCAGTGTTTAGGGGTACCAAGGGGTGGTTTACTGGTTTCAAAAGGAGAAATAAATTGCATAGTGTTGTGAGACATGGTGATGCTGCTAGTGCAGATAAGGAAGCAGCTAAGGAACACCATGACATTTTTTTAATGTGATTAAAGAGGGAGGCTTTGTTTCTCAGCAGGTATTCAACTGTGATGAAACTGGACTTTTTTTGAAAAAAATGCCTCGCCGTACATACTGTACATTACCAAGGAGGAAACTTCTGTCCCTGGCCATAAGCCAATGAAAGACAGGCTTACCCTCCTTCTTTGTGCTAATGCTTCTGGTGACTGCAAAATAAAGCCACTCCTTGTGTACCATGCAGAAAACCCCAGAGCTTTCAAAAACATTAGGAAGACCTGCCTTGGTGTTATGTGGCGGTCAAACCCAAAGGCTTGGGTGACCAGGAGTTTATTCTCTGAGTGGATGATTGAGGTGTTTGGACCCAGTGTTCGGGAATACCTCAGGGAGAATAATCTTCCACTGAAAGCTTTGTTGGTGATGGACAATGCACCAGTCCACCCTCCTAATTTGATGGTTGAATTGCCAGAGGAGCTCAACTTCATCACTGTGCACTTCTTGCCACCCAACACAACACCTCTCATCCAGCCCATGGATCAACAGGTAATTTCTAACTTTAAGAAGCTGTACACAAAGGCACTGTTTAGAAAATGTTTTGCATCCACTTCTTCCAGTGATGTTAGTTTGAAGGAATTTTGGAAGAGTCACTTCAATATAGCAGATGCTGTTTTTTTAATTACCTCAGCCTGGAAAGAGGTTACTGTGAGGTGTCTTTGTGCTGCTTGGAGGCCATTGTGGCCTGAATGTGTGCTTCAAAGAGACTTTGAAGGCTTCGAAGAGTTAGAAGAAGAGGCTGTTGTTCATGAAATTGTGTCTCTGGGCAATTCCATGGGCCTGGAAGTGGATGATGATGATGTTGAGGAGTTGGTGGAAGAGCACAATAAGGAACTGTCCACTGAGGAGCTGCTTGACCTTCACAAAGAAGAAGAGCTTAACTTCTGAGGAGTCAGGGGAGGATGAGGACAAGGAGGAAAGCTGCATCATTCCAGCCAAAGATCTCAAGGATGCGTTCTTTTGCTGGAGCAAACTGTCTAAGCTTGCTGAGGATTATCATCCTGATGTTGGTTCTGTGGAAAAGGCCATCAGTGTGTTTAATGACAATGTTATGAACTACTTTTGGAAGGTCCAGAAATCAAGGTTGAAGCAGCCAACCCTGGCTTCCTTCTTTAAAAAAGTAACAAAAGAACCTACAGACAAAGTGCCTGTAAGACAGTCACCAAAGAGGGCTAGGAAGGATGACTCCTCTCCTTCCACCTCTTCTCCATAATTCTCTCCTTTCCCCTCTCCTCCTCAGCCTCCTGTCCTGCATGCTGAACAACACTATGGTAAGATAAAGTACCGTATTGTTTACATTTTCCACAGAATTTTTTCAATGTTAAGTGGTTGTATTGGGGGCCTGGAACGGATTAATCCTATAACGAACGAGGTTCTACACCCAATTAGATTCGTTTTAGCATACCCAGCCTGACTGGCTGTTGGAGACGCGTCGTGGCGTCACACGCTTACAACAGACAGGAACAAACATGTATAAATTTTTTTAGCGGACTTAAAGTTAGCGGAACTAAATTTAGCGGAAGCTAATTGGTCCGCTAATGGTTTCCAAAGTTAGTGAAAACGCTTATCCACTAACGAGAAAGTTAGCTTCGCTAATTAGCGGTTAGCGGAACCGTGCCCACCACTGCTAACCACTAATGGTAAAGAAATAAAGCGAGACAATTGGGAACACCAACGTATGTACAGTAAGTGCGTGCATGTGAAAACATATCGTCATTTCTCTACATATGAATATGAAAGCAACACTTATTTAGTGTTCAAATACGTTTTAAATAATATTTACGCACGTAAAAGAAAAATTTTACTCACCAATGGTGGTAAAGTCTAAAACATAAGGACAGCCAATGAATATTGTGCGAGTTTTTACTCTGATGACGAAGTCATCAGGTTCAACTCTGGCTGAAGCTGTAGTTTTCCATAAAGCTGTTGCTGAAACTGTTCCTGAACCTGAAGTTATTGTTGAAGCTGCTGAATTTGATAGTGGAGCTGAAGTTGATTGTTTAGGCCTTCGAATAATAAAGCTGTTGAAAGAACCTTGCACAACTGCTTTCTTTTCTCATTATGCATCTTTATGTAGAGGTCATTTGCATTTATAAAAATTTTAATGCTTTGTTCTGTTAATGGATCCACTTCAGAAAATATGTTCATTGCTTGCTCCATATAATATCCACAAACCTCTCACCTTTTTCATATCGTTTTAACACATCTAGTTTCTGAGCTAAGCTTATACACTTTCTATTAGCTTTTGAAACAACACTACCATCACTTGCTCTCTTGCTCATGTTGAATAGGGATGCAAAAATGCTGTTTTTCTCCTTTTCCTGTTCAGTTGCGTGAAAACAAAGGGCCTGCCCCGCCAGCTGGGATTGTTTACACTAGTGATGCCGGTTTCACCACTAACAAGCCTGGCAGCCTCCAAGCGCAAGGTGTGTTTTTTTTTTAATATCGGTATTTAGTTATTATTTATACAAAAATGTAATATATTTTTTTAATTTCATTGTAAATACGAAGAAAATAATGGCGTAAATTGAATTGGGTCCTAAATTAACCAGGGTCTCGGATATGAATCTAATAATAATAATAATAATAATAATAATAATAATAATAATAATAATAATAATAATAATAAACGGTTTATTAATAGAGTTGCAGCCGGTGGCTTAACTGTACCTTAGTATCTACATAACGACTGAGGGTTAGGGAAATCGGTTATCCAGTTAGTCATATAAAAAAAATTTTTTTTTAAAAATCTAAATGATACAGTACAGTAAAGTAATAAATAATGATAATGGATACAGTACAGTGAAGTAATAAATAATAAGGAATGGATACAGTGTGACTGAGCATTAACCTTTAATGTAGTCAGTGAATGCATGGGATAATTTTCTAATTATACATGGAACTACATTAACTGGAAACGTTCGGTATAGAAAGTGTGTTTTTTTCGTAAGTCCGTAGTCGTAAGTCGGGGTCTGGGTGTACTGTAATATAAAAAATGCATTGACTATGCTTCACACTTTATTAAGAAAAAGAAAAAGTAAAAATTATAGGCATCATAATCAAGCTTACCTCATCCATTAACATTGCAACACCATCAGCAACAAGGAAGAGATCAGGCAGATCATGGGTTATGCCAAGGATGATGGCTGCCTGCTCAGCAAAACAGTGATGGCTGATGAGGCTGCTCAAATTTACGTCAAAACTCAGGTAGTTCTGGGTTTCTGAAGAAAACGCAAAATATCTAAGATTTTTAAGTGCCTGAAATGTCTCTCCCATCCATCAACTCTTTTGACACAGGAATACAAGAATCCTATCCAAATAAAATTGTTGCTCTGTTGACACTGCGAGTTAGACTCGAGGAAAGACGAAAAGAAAAAGAAATGAGTACCTTTATACAGTATACAGTATAACTTAATCCCATTCATCAGTGATTAAAAATTAAATAGTTATGACAAAAACAGTGTTTAAACTTTTTGATATTATTCCCGCACACTATGAGGTAAACAATATCACTGTGATCGCCACAACATATACAGTAACAATCCCTTCCCCTCCACCCCCCCAATTCAGTTACAGCAACAAGTGGTTTTCTAACTTAACCTGTATACTGTATCAACCTCTTGCCATTTTTGCTTCATATCTCCATCAAATGTACAACATAAACATGGAGTATAAATTCTCAATTAAAGATAAAAAGAAACATGAAATTTATCTAAATTCAATACGATAAACATGGAATTTATAAACTGCTTAAAATTTTGAAAACATGGGGTTTTAAATCTGAATTAAATATACCGTATATCTCGGCCTATAAGGCGTCGGGGTGCATAAGACAGCCCCACCAAATTTCCATTTAAAAAGTAGTTTTTGAGCTCTATTCGCTGTATAAGACCAGTACCCCAAATGTGACACTTACCCACTGACTCAGTAGTCCTCTACCAACCATCCTTGGTTTTTTAAAATAAGGCCAATTCACTTCAAGTAATGTCATCAAATGTTACCCGCTGGTGTAGTGTAAACACTAGTGACATCACTGAAGCGTCTGCTATTTACCGGTAACTGGAACTAATGTCGGTGTCGAGTAAAATTTTTCCATTTACTTGAAATGGATTTACCGATTTATTTGTTTATTTATTTATTTATAATATACTGTAACATATTAAACACACTGCAAGTATTTTCTTTAATTTATATGCTTGCTTCACACGAGACGATTGGTGGTGGGAGTGTTACCTCGTCTCGGTGGTGGGACTGTGTTCCCACTGTTTACCTTACTTTTTTTTTAGTAAGTTCTTTTTTGTTATATTTTTTACTAAAAGTGTTATTTTATGTGGATAAAAATGTTACAATGGACTTAAAACTATAAAAAATCATCTGAGCATGCTTGAAAACATACATATCGACACCAAGATCACCCAGATTGACCAACTACATCAATTTCTATAAGAAAAATCAACTTTTGAAGGTCAATATGGCGGTCATCTTGAAAAATGGTCGCCATCTTGGATTTTTAAATGGCCAATCAGGCAGACTTGACTTGTAACCATTAGAGAATTACCATGCCAAATTTGGTGCTTGTACCACCATTTTCATGATTCTCTTGAAAAATTGCATTTAGCTGCCCCACTAATGTCACCACTCCCATCTCAACATGACACTCGTATACTGAAATATTGTATTTCATACTACATATGACTTTACAAAAAGAAATGTCCACGTCTGGTTAAATAACTCTTGTTAAAGGCATTTTGTTTTCTTTATAAGCACTTTATTATACAGTACAGCGAAATAATATACAGTATTACCCCACCTAACGCGGTTTCACTTAACGCGTTTTATCATATACGCGGTGCCTCGCCAGAGCTGAACTTTCACTTAACACGGATTTTTTCCACATATACGCGGTGAGTGTCCGGCTTGAGACGCTATTTTTAGATTTGCCCCACCCGCCACCCGCCACCCTGCCTGACTGCCTGTTTTAGCTCATAAAATTCATACAAATTACCCGGCCAGAATATAATTTACATTGCTGGAATTCTTATAATTGGTGATCATTTTGAATATAAACATCATATATTTTGCATTAGAAATACAAATTATAGATAAAATGTTTTCTCTAGTAAATATGTTATCTTTTGTGCAAAATATATGACATTTATATTCAAAATATTCCTGGTCTTACAAGGAATCCAGCAATGTCAATTATATTATCCTAACTTTAGTTTGAGGTATTATTTATTAAAATTTAGTGGTTTTCCCACACATCTCCTTGGGACGGTTGGTGGGGGGTGGGGGGGGAGGGAGGGACCGACGGACCATCTGTTACCCCGTGAAGAATATTTTTTTTATTATTAACTGAAGATATTTGTTTTAGCTCATAAAATTCATACAAATTACCCGGTCAGAATATAATTTACATTGCTGGAATTCTTATAATTTGATGATCATTTTGAATATAAACATCATATATTTTGCATTAGACATACAAATTTTAGATAAAATGTTTTCTCTAGTAAATATGTTATCTTTTGTGCAAAATATATGACATTTATATTCAAAATATTCCTGGTCTTACAAGGAATCCAGCAATGTCAATTATATTATCCTAACTTTAATCTGAGGTATTATTTAATACAAAATGTTAAAATTTATTTTTTTCACCCACTCTTCTCTTGAAGGGAGGATTGGTGGGGGGTGGGGGGGAGGGTTGGGACTGACCGCGCGGTTGGAAGAGGGGGGAGGCAAGGTGGGGTACTTTGATTGACAGATAGTGTCCTGAAGAATATTTTTTTTTTTATTAACTGAAGATATTTGTTTTAGCTCATAAAATTCATACAAATTACCCGGCCAGAATATAATTTACATTGCTGGAATTCTTATAATTTGGTGATCATTTTGAATATAAACATCATATATTTTGCATTAGACATACAAATTTTAGATAAAATGTTTTCTCTAGTAAATATGTTATCTTTTGTGCAAAATATATGACATTTATATTCAAAATATTCCTGGTCTTACAAGGAATCCAGCAATGTCAATTGTATTATCCTAACTTTAGTTTGAGGTATTATTTATTAAAATTTAGTGGTTTTCCCCCAAAAATTTCTCAGAGAGGGAAGAGCCAGCAGTGTAGTGTGAGAAGAGGGGGAGGGAGTTGAGTCCATTATTTGAATGGACATTAACTTGGCGACTGTATTTCTCTATTTCTCTTAAGTATTAATTGTGTGCATGTACCATCATAAAATTAAGATGTTATTTTTACTACAACATAGTTATGTGTCTTCAAAAAGTGGAGTTTGGGGGTCGGGCTGGTTTCTATTGGAATTAATCCCATATGTTCTGTTGTTCACTTAACGCGGATTTCACTTAACACGGGACCCTCTGGGTTCTATTGACCGCGTTAAGTGGGGTACAACTGTACATGTAGATATAATACCAGTTGAATAAACGAAACTAAAAAACTGGAGATTGTAATTACAGTGAAGCCTTGACAACTCCATTATGAAGTTAGGGATTAGATGACGCCAAATTCAATCACCTTAATGCACTTTAAGAGAGAGGAGTCACCGTGCCAGGGCTTAATATTATCCTGGACCCTAGAGGTTGATGACGTATTGAGTGTCAGAGGCAGAAATACATCGATGTACACAGCACCTGATCCCAATCAACTCCAGTATAGGTGTTAATAATGTAGAGGTGACCAGGTGTGTTGCACGTTGGTAGTGTTGGATGGTGATGCAGGAAAGAGGTAGTGTGTTGAGGGTGGTGTGTGGTTATGACTCACTCCCACAACCCCCCCCACACCACTCACACATCCTCACAACTGTACCACAAAACCCCCACACTACTTACACATCCTCACAACACTACCACAACCCCCCACACCACATACACATCCTCACAACACTACCACAACCTCCCACACCACTTACACATCCTCACAACACTACCACAACCTCCCACACCACTCACACATCCTCACAACACTACCACAATCCCCCACACCACTCACACATTCCCACACCACTCACACATCCTCACAACACTACCACAATCCCCACACCACTCACACATCCCACACTCACATCCTCACACACTACCACAACCTCACAACACTACATCACAACACTCCACGCACCACTCACACATCCTCACAACACTACCACAACCCCCCACACCACATACACATCCTCACAACACTACCACAACCTCCCACACCACTTACACATCCTCACAACACTACCACAATCCCCCACACCACTCACACATCCTCACAACACTACCACAATCCCCCACACCACTCACACATCCTCACAACACTACCATAATAAAATTAATCATTTCTAGTGTGGTTGACTTCCTACACAAAGACAGGCTATAAATAGCCATCTTATCTCAACCTCCTTCCTTCCCCCTCCATCCCTCTGTTCTCAGAGAGGTCTTGGTAAATAACTTTTGTTTGTTTATTTTCATTGTTTGTCTAATTTATCATGTTGTATCAAAGTAATATTACTAAAAGTTTTAGGCAGCTACCAAACAGGGAGATACTACCGCCTGGGAAGATATTGGAAGCATAATGTACAGTATTGTCTAATGGTAGACCCTACTTCCATATGGCATCACGAAAATTGTGACCAAGTCTTAGGTTGCTGATTTATCTTTCTGCCTCATTTACACACAATTGCAGAGTTTCAATTGTTTCTCTTCCTTTGACAACACAACATACATACAATATAATGTTTCTCACCTTTGATCTTTTTTCCATTTATTTATGGTTGGTTATTTAAAATAATGCCAATTCACTTCAAGTATTGGCATCAAATTTTACCGGCTGGTGTACACTAGTGACTCACTTAAGCATCAATTATTTAACTGGAACTAATGTTGGTGTGAGTAAAATATTTCCATTTACTTGAAATAGATTTGCCAATTTATTTGTTTATTTATTTATTTATAATATACTGTAATACATTAAACACACTGCAAGTATTTTCTTTAATTTATATACTTGTTGGTCAACTTCACCTGGTAGGTGAAGTTGACCAGAAATTTATGGTGATCATTAAGGACCAAACTCGAATCCATGACGTGACTTCTGTTCATCATTCTCATCCTAAATTTACCACTGTCGGTAGTTTCAAGAATTAACTCAGTCATTTACTGAATATTCTTTGTAAAAAAATAAATTTTAAATTAATTATTTATAGGAGATAAGTAT